GGCTGGTGCTAGCAACAGCAACCTCCTGTGATTACAAGTGAGTGACTACAAGACTCTTGCATTTGTCACTGGTTGATTTACGAGTGAGAATCAAACCTAATAGGCAGGTTATAAAAAATAATAAATATTATATCAAGATCATAGACTCACATTCAGAATAAGTCCTACATGATATATATTATTGTACCTGATATCTTTTAGATTAAGAATAATCATAATAAATAATGACAATCTCTTGCCCATGTACTTTTTTTTAAAGGTCAGATACAATGAACTGCTTGTTTTACTAGAGCAAATGTTAATTGTGTCAACAAAACCTTTCCCAAAAAACATGTCAAAGTAGACAATGTTTGGTTTTCGTATGTTATAGTAGCACATGCACTGTTGTCTTTGCATGGTTTAATGATAACAGAAACTCTTGGTCCAACTCAAAGCAAATAGATCAGCTGGCTGACTCAGAAAATTTAGTCAAGCAGAAACGTCCACACGGAAGTGCCAGAAACGCAGATCCTGGAAAGGCTGTTTGACATTGACTCCAAAGTGGAGAAACGAAATCCCACAGACTCCTATGGTGAAATGCCCACATTAACAATTAAAATGCATGTCTACAGCTTTTGAACAGTAACAACTATACGATGGGTGAATTCATTGATTTGGAAACTGTTCAAGCTTAAAGTTAGAGGCAAGGCTGCTTTGATTGCCAGGTGTAGCTGTAGCCAGTCTTGTGCACCAGGCCCCATCTCTACTAATTTCTTTCACTGAACTGGACCAGATATGCTACAATGTGAAGACGTGGTACTGTTAGAAATCTGGGTTTAAATACTTGGGAGATTTGTGTAACAGCAAAGATGGTGAAAGGCCAAAAAAAATTAAAAAATCATAATAATAATAATAATAATAATAATTTAAAAAGTTTCTTTTAGTGGTTTTCATTAGATTTGACCAGTGACTTCGTTTTTATGACCCAGTGACAGTTTAAATTAAAGCCAAATAACTTCCAAATAAGTAATAAATATATGTGCCTAAAATTATACAGTGATGAGAGACCGATAAAAAGAGATGGTTACATTTTCACAAAATCATTTAAAACTTGCATTATGCATTTAGCAAGGTTGCCTTTTGGTTTAGAGGTTAGGTTTTCTTTAAAGTACTGTAGTCAAAAACAGACGCAGTAAAACATTTAAGTGCTAACACATCCCAACAGATTATCTGTTATTGATTTATTATTATTTAACATCGAGTATGAAACTCTACTGGGGGAACATTTAGGCATACATTTTACAGTATCTCGCACAGAGTTTCATCACATTACTGCTAAGTCTCTAATTTTAAACTTGTGCTGCAATCTGACACACTACCGTCTTAGTGACAGTTGAAAGCGCCAGACAGGTTTTAGAGGATGATAAAAGGTGTTGGAACTTAAATAGTAATATATCTTTGTGGATTAAGTGTGCAGCTGTCCTAGTGACCAAAACTGCTTCAGTGTAATCATTTGTCCTCCCTGAATAAACGCAGTGCGTGCTGCTTCTGAGAACTTAATCTTCCTTCCTTGTTCTTACTGCCAACTCATATTTGTCCTTGGAGGAGCTCTCACCTGAGTATTTGTTCGACAACATTCAAATTACCTTGGCATTTTCAGTTTGTACGCCAGAACCCCAGATGAAGTACTGAGTAAACAGACTTTAGCAAATACAATTCATGCTTAGTGTGGTTGGATGAGAAACAGGTTACATGACCATCCAAAGCAGCTAGAGCCTCCAAAAATCCCCAAAACATTTACTTAACTGAGTTCTCCATTTAAACACAGGTTTGTGTGTGTGTGTGTGTGTGTGTGTGTGTGAACTTAGTTGTGTGTTTATTTTAGCTTTTCATTTAGTTATTTATACTGCATTGTGTTTAGTAGCATACAGCATATACTGAGACTGAAACTAGTTATCATTACAAATAGCTGAATGACAATAAAGCTGAGTCTGAAAATTGGCTAACATCACTGTAGTTTCCACCCAGAGTACAAAGACATGTGATTGACTGGTGATGCTAAACTGACTGTAGTTGTGAGCGTGTGAGTGTGTAGTTGTCTATTTCTGTGTTTTAGACTGGTTATGGACTGGTGTATCCCTGGCTTTTACCCAGTTTTGGCTGGGAATGGTTTCCAGCCTGGTTGAACAAGCAGCAAAGAAAATGGACTGATGGAAGGAAAAAGAAATCTTATAGCATCTGACAGTTATTTGTGCCGTGTTCTTGTATTCCCAGCAGAGGGTGTTCATTATGTACAAGTTGCTAAATGGACTGGCCTACTCTGCTGGCTCCTAATATATATGTGAAAAAAGAAAGCTGTAAAGTCTTTGCAATTGCTTCAGCTTATTCTAAAACCCCAAACAACCCTGAAGCTCCCAAACAGACACTAAACATAGGATGAACTATTCCGGACTTCAGTTTTTCTTAAGCATTCATCATTATTATTTACACAATTTGCTTATGGATTATTAAGGTATTCTGGTTGTTTTAGTAACCTATTCAAAAGTTATACTAGTTTGCATTGCAGAGGTGTGTTGCTATATTTGATTGATTTACAAATAAAGTGCTTCTTCACTTATTTTTATGTTTACTACCTATTAAATCATTGTAACTAGTCTACAGTTTATTCACTCATCTGCATGCAGTGAAGCCGTTAAATATAAGAAGCTGAAAATATTTGAATATATTTATTTTATTATATTAATGTATATAAATCTAGAATACTTTCATAATAATAATTTCAAAATGATCTGATGTGATCAATAAAGGACTGAAGTGATAGAATGTTTGTATCCAAGATTTTTAAATACATTTAATTAAATTCTGAAAACAAAAAGCATTCGTGTTTCCAACTACATAAGTGGACTGGCTGTGGTAAAATAGCAAAGTTAGCCATGTCTTTAGTATGTTGTCAAAGCAGAATTCAAAGTAATAGAAACTCTGGCTCTCACATAATTCTAGCGTCTTTTTTCATGCTGTATAATTGCTTTGAAATAAACACCAACTGTATCACTGAAGCTTAACAATCTGTAACTCAATCACATCTATGTGGCCAACAATCTTCACTCACATCCAAGTAGATAAACAACATTATTGCTGAATTCTTTTCTGTTTCATTCTTATACTTACTAATATTGTAACAGCTTGTTTCACCCCTACCACTTTTCAAATACGCGTTTAGTGATTTTGTATCTATATCTACAGTCCATAAGCACATCTCCACTCTTTCCTATTTTTACTTATTACTGCTTCACCAAGAACAGTCAAAATGCAGACTCTCCTGGTCTTTTTATTTCAAAATTTCACCCTGCCAACTTTATTGTATATTTAAAAAAAACCAGCTGGCTAAACTTTAATGTTATTGTGGAGAATAAGACAGTACATTTAGGGTTTGTGTGATGTAAATGTAAACACAAAATAAATGTTTAGATTTTTTTTTTTACTAGAAAAAAAGAAGATGGAAGAGATGAGACATGAACTGAGTTGCAAGTTCTTTTTTATTTTGATCAGCAGATAAATACTCAAACTACAATAGCAATTACTTTGTAAGATATATAATGATTTTTAAGAAAATATGGGAAGAAACATTTAAATGTCACATCTGTGAAGAGACGGACTGTTTCATCACAGCAGTGTGAAGCTTCTCTTCCTGCGAACATGATGTCGAGCTGTGGTGCAGTCCGTCTTGGTACACCCACACTGTTCCACATACATGTATGTGTAGGGGACCGTGTCTCCATTCAGGCAGACCAGGTCAACAGTGCGATTGCTGAAGTTTATCTCCTTACAGCATGAGCAGGAATGCTCCATAGCTGCTGCTGCTTCAGAGTACCTAAAGATAGCAGGGGACAGGATTATTAATATAGTCAAAGTGTAAAATAACACTTTTTGTAACTTTCCAGGGAACCATATAACATTAAGGTTATCCTTACATGGTGTAAGTGTTGCAGGATCCTTCACAATATGGCATATCTACCTCCTGGGAGGACTGACAACCGTTGAATGTAATATGGGTTTTCATGGACATTAACTTGCATCCCTTCTCCTTCTCCACACCTTTTACAAAAAAAGATGTTGAGTTAGTTTCTTTTATTTCTATTTAATGTAAATCCATCCATCCATACTGTTCCGCTTATCCAGATGTCATAGGGTGAAAGGCAGGTACATCCTGGACAGGTCGACACTCTGTCGACTCCGTCATAGGGCTAACACCGACAGACAGCAATTAAAAACTAAAAACTAAATTCACACCTATGTGGAATTTAGAATCAACAGTTAACCTAACTCCACTAAGTGTATGTCTCTGGACTATTGGAGGAAGACACAGTACCCGGAGAGAACCCATGCAGACATTAGGGGAACATGCAAACTCCACACAGAAAGACCCTGGCTAGATGCTGGATTCAAAACAAGTCCCTTCCGGCTGTGAGGCAACAATGTTAACCACCACGCCACTGTGCTGCCTTTGATTAAAATATTATATATCAAAATGTTATACTCACAAATTTTGCAACAGCCGTTTGCTGCAGTTTGAATTGTTTCCTAATGAGGAAAATATACAACATTAACAAAATTTGTTTCATTTCATTTCAGACAGATGCAGTCAATCAATCAAGATTATTTTTTAAAAGCATACTTACAGGTTGGCAGTTGCTCTCTTGGAAGGGTGGACAGACAGTCTGTGAACGACTTGCTGTTAAAGTCTCACCATTCTTAACACAGGTGTAATGATCACACTTATTTTCCGATGGTGACCAGGTTTCTCCTTGCTAGAAAGCAGTGAGATAGATGTATACACAAATCCACACAAACTTAGTAGTATTTATTTAAACACACAAATAAGCACTTATTGGTGGTTGGCTTAGATGAATTAACACATGAAGTTACAACCAGCTTACAGTCAAAAGGTGTTTGGTTCCATTAATGTTGACAACACAGTGTGTCTGTACACACTTCCCGCAGCATTCATCTGAATTACTTTCCACATATCCATATCCCTGTGAGACACCGAGAGCGACGTTAGCTTCTGAAGCCCAATCTAGCAAGTGACACACTAAAGCCACCAAAGGAAAACAAGCTGGGATGTTTGGTGTAAGTGAAGATGACGGCTTTATTGTCTCTTACCAGTTCACAGTGTTCTTTGCATTGTTGAAACACACAAATTATTTTTAATAGACCAGATTTGGGGTCAATCTGATTGGCACAGGTACAATCCTGACATGCAATCACAGGAACTGAAGAACCAGGCTGACAAATAAAGAGAAAAGGTCATACATAATTATTCCATCATTAAAGGTAAAAAGGTGAGAAATGACAAGTCATCTGCTTCTTATTTACCTGATATTCAGTTTCTCTGTGTACACAAACTCTTTTAGGTTCTAGGAAAGAGTTGGACAAAGATGAGGTGAATTGCATGAAAGTACACACACACATACACACACACACACACACACACATATATAGAGATAGATAGATAGATTCAAACTGTTTGAATGAGATTACCACATGTATGTTCTGCACAGCATTTTCCATCAGGGACACTGACAACTGGCTTATATCCAATTGGACAATTCATATTGGTGACTGGGCAGGTGTTAGGTTGACATTCTGCAGAGATGATGACACAGTGAGATACTACCAAAATCAAATAACATTCTGGAAAAATTTAAAGTGCTTTGATATTATATGTCTTACGGCAAACATAGGTAGAACAGCAGGGGTCTGATGGACTGGTCTGGTTGACAAGGACAAACCCAGGAGCAGAGCAGTCTGTCGTGGCTGACGGTGGAGGGCACACCTTAGGCTTGCAAGTCACAGTCTTCGTAGATTCTTCACAGATGCAGTCCTGGCATTTGTACTCAAATCTTTCATTGAACTGAAAGAATAAACCACAACTTATATTATTTTCTCCTGTAAGTAAACAATAAAGAATAGAATTTCTGGTAAAAAAAAAAAAAAAAAAAAGAGGAAGAAGAAGATCACCTCACGAGGAATGCCCTCAGGATCAAGACATCCTGTTGGAAAATAAAAAAGTCACTAAAACTATATCATATACTTAGGTCAGTAGTAGTAAACTGAAAATATCACAAAAAGTAATTACCACATTTTTCAACACATATTCCAGACTCCTGGTTGAAGAGTTTCATTCCATCAGGACAAAAGCAGCCCTCAGTAGTGTAGTTCATAGTTGGTCCACTTGGACTGTAGAATAAGTTACGTTGGAACAGCAGTTAAATTCATTCAGTTAAGTTGATAGACAGTGTCACTTTTACTTATTGCCACTGTAAACATTTATATTTTGCCACATTTTGTTATTATCATAGTGCCTAGAAATGTTTTTGCATAGTTTTGCAGAAACTTACTCGTCTTGACAGGTTGGCTGTTCTGCAGGACCACAAGGCTTGTAAACTTTGCCTAATGGGCATTCACCAGCTGATGATGAAGAAAAGAACTTCATTGTTTTGTGCTTTGATTTTTATCTACATGCTGACAAAGTTTCACTTGTGATTCCATCCATTTCAAAACATTTACAAAATGATGAGGGATTGCTTACTGCACAGTGTGGTGTGGTTCCTCCAGTAAATGCAAACTCCAGCCTGAGCACAGGCTGCAGCATAAGTCTGTAAACTTGTGCACTCCACTGTTGGATTTGAAACGTGACAGCTATCAAAAACACAACCTCTGTAGAAATTTTCTGGGGAGACAAATGGATGGCACTCTGCAAAGAGACTGTTTTAACAAAAGACACAAAAATTTATGTATTTTGTTTTAAGTGCAAACTGTTAATAGTACAGGAATAAACTTTTGGGACAGATCAGATCATGCTTACCTAGTTTTAAGTAGGTCACACATGGAGTCTGGTTTGCATGGAGCTAAAGTAGGTGGTGGTTCAGGTGCACTGGTAGGTAGTGCGGGTGGTGTTGGGCAGTTGGGCTGGTAAAGGTCTTCAACAGGCCAATAGTCAGCCATCACTGCACAGCTTTCCACCAGCTTACCTCCAGGCAACATGCAGTCATCAGCCTGATTATTGTTGCACGTTCCTGACAATAGTAATTAAACAGTTAATATTGCAGTACAACCTCAAAGTAAGGGTTATGAAATATGACCATTTTAGTGAACATTCTCACCACAATGTCCCTGTGTGTTTTTGCCGAAGTACTGGAATGGAAGGGTTACACTGAAGCCAGTTATTCCAAATGTAACAACCACTTTTAGACGAGGAATCTCTAAAATCAGGTTAATGCCTGAATTCATGATCTTAACACCTTGTTGAGAATAAGGTAGGTTCAAACTTTCTTCATTTTTCAGTGCCTACAAAAGAATAATTGCACCATATGTAAAAAATATACTATAAAACAATCTATCTTGGTTATTTTGCAGAAAAATACAATAAAATATTGGCAATCATATATGCATACATTTACCTCCAACTGTGCAGCTCCAATAAGATTATGATTAATGAGTGTGATGACTTGTGATACATATGATACTGTTATCGATCGTGGACAAGAAACATCTTCAGTTGGATCACAAAAGACATTGTCAATATAAATCTCCAGGTTATGTATCGGTAAGATCTCTTTCATCAAAACATAAGTACAGTTTCCTTGATAACTGTAGTAAAGTCCATCAAATGTGATGTAATGTGGATCTCCCCACCCTTCACATACACCTGAAAAGAAAGAAAAATAAATTAATGGAGGGGAAAAAACATGAATGGAACTGTTGGAATGTTTTTTACTCACAAAATAACTTACAGTCGCAAGTGTAATATTGACAGCAGTAGTACTCGTCATATACCAGAACTGGTTTCTTTCCATTGGTGCAAGTTATGTTTTGAAGAGGTGGACATTCATATGGAATAATTTCTA